ATTAATAGTTATTTATTATACAAGAGTGGAAAGTTCCTTTTTAACCGCGTGCTCGATTTGGATGACCGAGCAAGCGAAGGATTCTAAAGTTGAATCACGAGCGCAGCGAGTGATTCTAAATTAGAATCCTGAGCGTCAGCGAGGGAAACAAACGAGCACAAGGTGAAAAATCTTTCCACTCGAGTGCAATACGTAACTTTTCATCCCACCTCAGCGAGGAAATGACAAAATGAAAAAGAAAACAATTTATAATGACAAAATATTTAAGCAATAAAACGTGAAAAACTAGAATGGCGCGAAGCACGCAAATAAAACAAAGAAACCAAGAAGGTTCCAAATTTAAATTTTTTCACAATTTAAAAAGTTCTAATCATAAATTTGGCACCATAGAGGTTACATTAAATAGGTTTAATGACGTTTTGAATTTACAATTATATTGAGTACTCATTATATGTGATGTTCTAAATTCAAATCTACTTTGCCGCTCAAGCGAATAAAATAGAATTTTCCAGCCAGATTTCGAAGCGCAAAATTACACTTTCCGAGGTGGTGGGATGAAAAAAATAATAATAACTATGTTAGTAATGACGACCTCGGTGGGGGCAGATGTTTGTGTGATGAACACGAGCATTTGTACTCCAGCCATGAATATTTATTTATTTATTATTTATTTATATGTAATAATAAATTTTGTACGAAACACCATTGATTACAATTCTTCGTGCAGCCTCGCACCTAGAATCATAGCATAAGGATTTAAGTTTTCTGTTCCCATATTAATAGATCAATCTCAACTCAACACTGAGACTGCGATCTTAAGATACTGTTTTCATTCATACAAAACAGCATCTCCAAATCGTTCTCAAATATTATTAATACGGGTCATACACCGCTTTATTTTAAAGCGCGGACCAAAGTTAGTCTAAGTTTAAACTTACCCCATTATTATAAAACTTAAGACTTAAGTTAAAGCCGGTCTAAAAATGATACTGTTTCGTTTTTTTGCTAAAGATGAGACGGAGACAGCATCAGGTTTAAAGCAAGTCTAACTTTAATCCTCGCGAAATGTTGTCTATCTTCTTTTTAGTATACGGTAGTGAAAGCATGAAAAGTCCAGGTTTAACTTTAATCCACGTTTTGTAATAAGACAGATAAAATCAGTGTTGCCAGGTCCGATTTTTAAAGATCGGGAGGCGTTATAGAAAAAAACAGTAGATGTATGGAAACAGCTACAAGAAAAACAGTAGATGCAGGGGTGTACTTTTTCCGGTTTGCACCCCCCCCCCCCCCCCCCCCCATTGGTAAATCAAATCAAGATAAAGACCAGTAACGAATGTGTTTCTGTGGCTTCTGCCGCCCCTCAAAGCTATTTTTGCTTTAGACAATTACATTTATTTTATCATTATTAAGGTTATCTACATTATTAATGACGAAAAATGCAACTCAACATGAAATTTAAAAAAGAAAATCGTATTCTAAAAAAACAGGAGATTCATGTAGAAAAACAGTAGAACAGGAGAAATTTCAGAAAAACAGGAGATCTCCTGTAAAATCTGGAGACCTGGCAACACTGGATAAAAATGACCGAACGTTTCCTGTCCAAACTAGTTTGAGAAAGACGACGCGATCCTGAGGACAATAATTCGTTTAAGATAAGCATTGAAAAAACCATCTCTTTCTCTCTATAGATACGTATGTCAAAATAATGCGAGTATCTATACCAGGAATAAGTAGATTTTCATTCTAGTATTATTAAATCTCACCAAAAACATTTTTACACTGATACCAGATTGGGGGATTCCCCCCAAATTTGGGGGTTTTAAAAGCGTTGGGGGATTAATGCGGGAAGAAATTTGGGTTTGGAGGAAATTGGGGGTTTTTAATTACATTTTTTTTATATAAAAATAAAATCACTTCACTTTTGATCTGTAAAAAGTCGCAATCGATAGTCTCTCTTTCTCATTCTGTACGGAGCTTGACAAAGATAGACTGTTGTCAAATTTAATTTGATTGGTTTTAGAGCATCATACCGGATTCGGACCTCTAAGTCCAAAAGCGCACATAAAAAAAAAATCGACCATATCTTTTTCTTTTGCGGTTCATTTCAAGTACAGAGAAATTTGCTGCTTCAAGACCTTCGAAGTACTTTTGGCGAAGAAACCATCCCGCGCGACTTGAGAAAACTTTTACAAAATAAAGACGCCTACATTCCTTTATACAAATTTGTAAAAGCTACAATCAAAACACTTTAAGAAAGAAAAGTTAACAGACAGGGCTGTATGGACTCAGAATCCTTTGCCCGTCCCAACAGGGCCAAAGTAACCAAAAAAAAAATCGTCGGTCCAATCCGTCTTGCTCAGGCGGTCGGTCAGTCAAGTCCATGTCAAGTCAAGCAAGTCAGTCAGTTGTTAATGGTCGTTAGCTTAAATTGCAAATCGACTCGATACCATCTATCATCTTTGCTCCGCTAAATCGTAATTTGTGCAGAAATACATGTAGTAAATATTGTATTTTAAATAAATATTTTGTATGTTGGGGGGTTTTTTCTTTAAAAAACTGTATTTTGGGGAGATTCCGGTTAAGATTTGGGGGGAAGGAGAAATGGCTTTCTGGTAACACTGTATTTTCATGTGAAATGTTGCCAAGACGAGGCCATATGAATGATATGAGTCGATAGGTGAAAAAAAGGTAATTCAGGATATCCTTTGCTTTAAATTCTCATTATTAAACCTAATTCTCTTAAAGTTGATGAATAATAATTTTTTTCAAATCTAATTCATAATTAGCTGAAATACTCGTCAAAATGTTATCAGTACCCCTAGCACGAACCATTATCGAATTCGAATAGTTTGCAAACCGAAATGTCAATGTCAAATTTTGTATGGAAACTTGAACAGCAGCGGCACAAAGTACGTAACGAGAACTAAAAATCAGTACACTTTTGACAATGACATTCCGGACTCGAATACAATACGAATTCGATATTGGTTCGTGCTAGGGGTACAGATCTCATGTAGAGACATGCTTTTAACTGTATACGCCCTAACTGTAGGACTTATGACACAACTCTGCACTTTAAGCTAAATAAAATATCAATCAAAATTGTATTGCGACGACTTGCTAAAGACAAACGATGAACTAATAAAAAACTTCGTATTCCTGGCAATAAATGTTTATGATGGGGAATGGCGGCACTGCCTGATACTGTCGCGCCCTTCAACATTCTTCATTATTCTTGGTACACACGCAATATTGTTCAAATCAACAACTTGGACATCCAATTTTCCAAATAAAATAAAGTGTACAGCGCAGTTTACGACCGAATCGGTATATATTGGTGACGATTCTGGCATGATTCTCTGAAATTAAACTAAATTTAACATCAGCCTCTCCTTTTCATTCAATCTGCTACCTTTCCAATACTGCTACCCTTGTAACCTGTTAGGAAAACAGATTTTACCCCGACCTTAAAATATTATCATCAGTCCAAGAAATTCCAATTTAGCCGCTACATCTTCGTCTCTAATAATGTCATCATCAGGAGTAAATCTCGCCCCGCTTCCCACACTCAGCGCCCCGCGGGCTCGCTAGCAAGAAGGAGCGCATGCTCTATTTAGTAGTATTACTATATAGTATTTTCTTATTATTTAGATTTGACCAAATAATTAGGTTCATTGTTACCCCCGAAGTATGGCTAATTTACCCCCGGAGGGGTAATTACCCCCAGGTTCAGAACCCAGAGTGTAGAGAATGACAAGTATACATTGGTGTCGATTCTGGCAGGATTCTGTAAACTTAAAACTATATTTAAGATCAGTCTGTCCTTTTCATTCTGTATAGTGAATGGCAGGGATACACTGTTGTCAAATTTAAGTTTAGGTTTAGAGAATCATGATAGAATCGACACCATTGTCCTTATATAGAGATAGAATGTGCAACAAGATTATGTCATGATGATAATAATACATAGACAGAACTCCATGTTCGGAAAACATTAGAAAATTCAGAAACTGATCTATTTTCTATGGCCTGTGCAGATGTGGGACTATTGTACGCGAAAGATAAAAGTCCCTGAACCGTAAAAAAAATATCGCAGTGCGCACTCAGTCAGGACCCGATCCAAGGGTAAACATCTATCGGTGCATATCTAAACTTTCAAAGGGATGTATTACGTTCCGCAGTCTATAAAAAACCCTAAAAAAAAACTAAAACTTATTATAAAAAGGAATCCATTTAGGCAAGGTTCCGAAGATACTAGCAGCGTTCCCCCTTTGAATAGCTAGACTAATCCTTTGTCCAAGGTAGCTGCTAGCTCTTCGGTCTCCTGTGATGTCGACTAACCTTTTCGCTATTTCCTTAACAAGCCTTACAGCACTAGGATTCCACGGACCTATGGATGTAAAGAATGGTTTTTTTTAAGTTCCTCATCCTTTTCGTCTATTAAATAAAAAAGAACCTTCCTTTATTGTTGTGATGTCTTAGATAGTTATTAAAGTGTATTACACACAACTGTGTTAACATATATCTTTTATCGGTAAATTCTTCTCTCTATAACATAATGTTCCTGTTTGGTTGTCTTGTCACTGTGTGTGAGTATTTCTTTTTTGTTTTTAACGCTTACTCTTTCTCTCATTTTTGTTTTGTTTTAAGTTTGCACTGCATTAACAGTATTGTGTAGTTGTACCATTACCGTACATTTTATTAAAAGTTTTTATTTAACATGCTTATCAAATTTTTGTTTTATGATTGTGTACAATTTTGGTGATAATTGGTTTTCATTTTAAATCACTAATTTTCAATGTTAATAAAGTTTGATGTAACTGTTTCCGTTGAAGATTTCATTACCAATACTACCTATTCGAAATTAAAATTATTAACGAATGTGAAAATATTTTCTAAAGCAAATTTATTCGAGAAAATACAAAAGTTTTGCTATGATCCCTCTATGGGTGAAGTAGTTTAAGAAATCGTCTAATTAAGATCTTCATTTTCCTTTCCAGTGACCTACCGGATGAAGAGGACAAGAAATCACCGGTTCTCCTCTTAGGGGTCAATAAAATATCTGACTCTCCTTCAGTCATTCGCAGGAGGTCCACCGAACCGCACACCACTGGGTCCATAAGATTCTTCAGACCTCCCAAGTCTAAGTACACCAGAGGTCTTCAAGGAGATGAAAGATTAGAGAGAATACGTCAAGATCTCTCAGTGCACAAACACAAGCCAGACAAATACATTCCCAAAGATAATGACGTATCATTGGAGTTGGATGAGAATAGGTGTATCAAATTAAACTGTGTCGGCAACTGTATTTGTGATAAGAAAAAATGCTCATCCGATAGAGGATCGTTCTCGTTTCACAGGCCTGAGAATAGGCAGTCTTCCCTCTGCCCTTCTGAGCCTTACGATAAAGCAGAGGACAAAAAAGACTATTCAGAAAACGATATCGAGTTTAAATACAAAGAACACATTCCAAATTCTCAACCTAGTACAAGTAAGAGCTCCTACAACGTCACTCCCAAATCGACTGAACGAAGGCATTTCTTACTAGCAAACCTCAATGAGAGATTCAGGAAAACTCTCAGCTTGGACTCTCGAAAAATTGAGACGAACCGCGTACCTCTGACGTTAGCAAAGGACACTCGACCCAAATCTCTAGTTAACACGAGCAATATTTGCGTGCAAAACTTTAGAACGCCCAACCATTTGGCGACAAACTACGATAAACCGAACCAACAGCCGAAGAAGAAGCGAAAATCGTTTTTCTCTCTCGACACTTTCTTTGATACCAAGAAGTCGGACACGTCATCAATAGATGACTATTGCTCGTCCAAATATAAACGATTCGAACTAGAGAGCGACGACTCACCACTGTTTAGACGCGACGCCAACCATAGAGAGAAGACTCCTGACCTACTCAACCTGCCCGTTATTATAGATTCGGTGCGTAAAAAACAATCGGACCCCAAAAGACAATTGGAAAAGCTCGAGAACCACTACTACAAAAGTCTAATTAAAACACAGCCTGTTATAGACGCGGTCCCCAAAGACGCTAAAGACTTAGATGGTCCTAGCGGAAATGCCGATCACATATTTGTCGACGATGATGACGTGGAATACATTGAACCTATACGCAGTAACTTCACCAGTCAGAGCACGTTGATATTAGAGAAAAACATTAATGGAGATTGCACTTTGAAACCTGATTCTATTTTGACCATTAACACTGAAGAGACTGATATTAAACTGCCGAGTTCGACAGTTTCACCCAAATCGAATGATGCTGGAAACCTGGATAATGATTTGGATAGCATAGGAATTTATGAGATTGAAGTGAAAGAGACGGATTTGCTCCAAGATCTCACGAAGGATCTGAAAGTTAAAGTGATGGATAAGTCTGTGGATTCTATCGGCAGTTGCTCGCTAGATGTCGACGCGAGCACGGACTTCTCAGGTAAATTCAGGATTTATCTATGAATCATCGTTGTCTGTTCATTATTGCAGCATGTAATTCGACCTCTTCAGTATTTTTTATCTACATATCAAATGCTTTCGTTGTATGTATCATAGTGTTTTTTTTTATATTTCCATCATTTCGTATGGCACAATAAAAGTATCTTTACCATTCTTATTTAGTATTGTGTTTTCTTTATTTCCTTAACTACTGTATCGCTGTTGTGATCAAAGGAATGTTTTGTGTACTACTTGTATGTTTGATGTTATATGTTGTCATTGTGATTTCCTGTTTCCGTCATGTTTTCGATAGAATGATTGCTATGAAGAAATCCCAGTTCAAGCGAATAATTCGTATTTATTTCTTTTCTCCATAGAATTGCATTATTTATCTGTTAAGTGCATGGAATTCAGATATACAATACATATTATAATTGCTTATGCTGTATAGATTAATGATTTTCATTGGAACTCGTTTTATCTTTTTCTTTTGAATTGAAACTTTGTTTACTGACTAGTCCGCATTATACGCTAATAAGTAGGTCGGCAACTAACAATACAGGTTGCAAAATGCAAGTCACAAGCGAAAATATTATACGCATACAGATATCCAACCTCGTTTAGCCCACGCGCGCTTATTGAAGTCCGGTCATTGTCGCCGAGCCGTGAACTAATACAGATGAATACACGTCGACATCTTGAAACTTTGAAAATAACTTTATAATTGCATCGCGTTAGCAAAAACTGCAATATACTGTGCTTTGAATAAATTAAATACAAATCTAATGTGAAACTCGCCGACCGTGAAACGGAACGGTGCAGACTGGCCGCAAACACGCGCACCGGCTGACGTCTTCGCGCGGCAGAAAAAAAGTTAGAGATTTTGACGTTTCTCCTTTGTGATGTGATGTCATAAAATTTTGGTGTGATTTTAATTTAATTTTCATGTGCTAGAATAACTTGAAACCTCAATTTCGTTTTTGTGTTTCGTGATTTTGTGTTTTTTACTTGTTTGGTGAGTTTTTACTCTTTAAAGCGGCACCCCGAGTTAGTAATTGTTGTTTTAAATTTTCTCTCTTTCCTACCTACTTTATTTTTATAAACATAACTTAGGCTAATTAAGCGACTATCCTCAAAGATTATTGTAACTTTAAAGTTGTATTTTTCTCTTCTAGAACACGACTCATAGCATATACCTCGAACAGTAAAACTGTATTCTTTTGAAGATGAGTAATTCAATAAAGATAGCTCATCTTGTAATCAATCTTTTTCGTTTATTTTAAGGATATTATACGCTGTAGTCATCATTCTTTAGTCGGTTTTTCCCATTTTTTACTACAGTAGTTGTCAAGGATATTAAAACTTTAATCTAATGTGTATTTTAGTGTGAAATCACATCAACATGTTTAAATGTTCATGAATATATTATTTGAACATTATTTTTATGGAGTGACCAAGAAATATTAAGGATTTGAAGTGACCAACATGTTGAAGCATTCACTTGTTGCTTATATCCCTTACCCTAATAATGTTATTATATTTTAGTCAAGCAATTAGCAACTATTATGTACATACACTCCTACACTCATTAGTAATACTTTTTAATATGCCTTATATACAAGTTTACATGATTATGCAACAAGTTTTATCTCTAGATTGCTGATTATAATAATGAGCCATGACATTGGTTCCTTGCAAATAAGTAAACAGTTTTTACAGCAACATTGGTGTCAATTCTCTAAACCTAATTTGTTTCTTAGGTTTTCACGCACATCACTCATTAAATAAAACTAGTTATAACGGGTTAATGCACAAAACTTTATTTATTTATTGACGTTTTGCAGACTTTTCAGGTCTGCTTCGTCAGAATAACGAAATTCGTCTGACGAAGCAGACCTGAAAAGGCTGCGAAAGGTAGTTTTATTTATCTAAACCTAAACTTGAATATGGCCACAGTCTATCTTTGTCGTTCTCCTTACAGAATGAAAAGGAGAGACTGGTCTTAAGTTTAGTTTTAAGTTTAGAGAATCATGCCAGAATCGACACCAATAACCATATAAGTGATAATGTAGATTAAATAATGTAATAAAAGATTTTTTGTTTAAAAGAAATATGCTTATTAACAAATAAGTGGACAGGCAAATAAAAGAGAGCTTTGCAAGTAGAAATTAAATATAATACAAACAATAACAAGAATGACAAGCAAAATTGAAAGAGACTAGTAATAAAAAGGATTACAAAAAGAATATAATTAAAATGACTATGATTAACCAGCCAGTCGTCAACAATGCTGTTCGACTCTAATAGGAACTACAGTTCTACATTAATGATACACAGAATAAGTTATACATTTCAAGCATCTCACAAAATAAATGTAATAGTTTAAGACCCTTTGTTTCATCATTTACTATAATTAATGTCACATCAAATACTTTTTGGCTTGTTATCTGTTCTATAGTATTTTAACTATAATCATATTTAACTATGTATCAACAAACTCTATCTTAGTAATATCACCCCATTGCTGTAATATACATTCAAGAAATGAGGAAGCGAGTAAGTGATGCAAAATTATTGAATACTAGCTGTGCCCCGTGGTGTTACCTGCGGTTTATTAAGGATATTTTCCTCCAGTGAAACATAGCCTATGTATTAATCCAGCGTGTCAACTCCATACCAAATTTTATTTAATTTGTTCCCGCCGTTTAGACGTGCCGAAGTACCTAACATACACACATACATTTACAAACTTTCGCCTTCATAATATAAGTGTGATTAATTAACAGTTGCAAATAGATTTTTGGTAAGCCATTATAGGAGTTAACCCACTAAGCTCACTATTTCCCGTAAGTAAGGCCTAAAATCTCTTGAAATCCATGATTTCTTCATATATTTTCAGTTCACAATGACTCAGTTATATCCTTATATGTTAATATTCAAGGTTTCAAAGTATAAGAACAACCTCCAACTCCAAAGAAGGTTCACCTTGTAGTTTGTATCTGTGGAAACAATACCGAGAAGTATTGCTACATAAACTGTGTATTTTTCTTATTTAAACTGCAATTTTCATAGCTTGTTAAATTAAAAATTATCTGGAACCAGCTGTGCTCCGCGGCTTATTAAGGATATTTTCCCGCATTAAAACATAGCCTATGTGTTAATCCAAGATGTCAGCTAACTCAATACCAAATTTTATTGAAATCACTCGAGTCATTTAGACGTGAAGAAGTAACAAACATACACACTCACAAACTTTCGCCTTTATAATATTACTGTGATTATAACATTAATAAAATAAGAAAATAAATATATTTATATAGCAAACTCAGTTGGATAAATACCACAGTTTGTTGAGAGTAACAGTAATTATAGCATTGAAATACCTCATGAATTTATTAATTACATTTTTAGGGTTCTGTAGCCAAATGGCAAAAAACGGAACCTTTATAGATTCGTCATGTCCGTCCATCTGTTCGTCTGTATGTCACAGCTACTTTTTATTCATCAATTAACTGCTAGATTTACTAAGGGGATAATTAATAAGCATCATCATAAGCCTATTAATGTCCCCATTGCTGGGGCACAGGCCATCCCTGTGGGTGGAATAGAAACACAGGGCCGTGACCCACCATGTGGGCCCAATGCGGATTGGAGGGTGCTAACTACTGCAGATGCACGGAGGAGTTTGAGATAATAAGTTTTTAATCATCCATCACACAAAAAGCCATTGAGTCATGTTATTGTTCAATCTCCCTATTCCATCCGTAGGGGAGGCTTGCACCCTAGCAGTGTTTTTTTTAACATATGAAAACATTTATTTTTATTAAAGAAAAGAGATTACGCCATTTATTGTTCAGTAGCCTTACTAAACATCGGCTTACCAGCTTAAAAAATTTATAGTGTGTAATTGAGGAGCATCTGTTTGAAAGCCTATTTCCGTGCTAAGTAAATGTTGATAAAATTAAAAAAACGTAATATGCTGATTTGATGATGTATGTGAAGTATTTTTTTTTATTTAGTTAATTCATGAGGAGGCCACTTATTTTTAGGGTAAATTTATTTATTATTGTTATTATTAAAAGCACAAAATTAAGTAATTCAAAATGGAAAGAGCACTATAGTCGGATATTCGGAAAATAGGATCTTTTGATTAGGAATGATAATAAATAGCATCAAAAAATAAACTTTTTGAAGTTGTTTTTTTAATTGGAATCTATGCCATGCCTAAATTATGCCAAAATATAACTTGGCATTGGTGTCGATTCTGACAGGATTCTCTAAACTTAAAACTAAATTTAACATCAGTCTGTCCTTTTCATTCTGTATAGAGAATGACAAAGATACACTGTTGTCAAATTTAAGTTTAGCTTTAGAGAATCATGCCAGAATCGACATCATTGACTAATTATCATTAAAAAAAAGCGTGGACCTTCATGATGAATTAATTAGTTAAGTCTCCTTTTATAAACATCTCATCTGACTAACTGAACCCATAAACATTATTGATATTTCTACAAGACTGTACCTGTTTACCTAATATTAGACTGGACATCGTAATCATTGATAAGATACAAGGCGACCTTATGATAAAACAAGACTTATTACATTACTATCCCTCAAGATCATGTGTCCACACAGATTATTGTGTATTAACAAGTGTAATAAAATATGGCTGATTATTTTCTCATGTTCCTACCATGTGAGTTATTTAATTTAGTCGAATAACGCCTCCTACTAAAATAATATATATTTTTTTACTTTATGTTCAATAATTTTGAAATAGTTGAATAATGTCTCTTTAACTAAATTTTGTATTTTATGTTCAATGACAATAAATTTATACAATACTTATGTAACATTGGAATTAAATAAATAAATATTTCTAATCACACAAATTAGCCTAGCCCAGGGGTTCCCAACGTTTTATTGATCAGGGACCACTTTTACATTATTATTTTTTGGCACGGACCACTATTTAGTCACTAAATAACTAAATTTTAGTGTAATATAAATAAACTGTAATAATCAAACTGAAACTTTAATTAAAAATCTAATATGAAATTAAATAAAAAGAAATAATAACATTTTTAGCTGGCGCGCCTAAAAATAAGCGCGCTAAATTCAAATTCATTCCAGGACCATATTTTGGCTTCTGCGGACCACTGGTTGGGAACCATTGGCCTAGCCCCAAAGTAAGCACTGTAATGCTCCTGTTAAGGGATACTAGGGTCACGGATGGAATACTTAAACTGATGCATATATAAGTAGGTATATTTATTTCGAAATATAATAAACATCCATACTTGAGTATGAATGCTTGTTATTCATCACACTAACATTAGCCACGCCGAGATTCTAGCCAGAGACCGCTAAAAAGGCAATATATTGTAAACCGACGTATATACCACTCGGCCACCGAGGTCGACAATTTTGATTATGATTTGTATATATTTATTTTATTTAAACTTAATGCTAATTATGCTACCACGGCCCTGATGGCCGCGTCGAAATTTTCCTAGCCTTAAGCTGCAAGGCAGCGCCATCTCTTCGCATTCATCCCGTCCGCTGCCTGGTCCGCGTGGATTTTTTTCTAGTAAAACTTTTGTTTAGATTTAAACATCTAGCAGTTAGATGCTTAAAAAAATAAATACTGATTGTTACTTTTCTTTAATACGGTGATAACAATTCCAATTTGAGAAGAGTTTGCATAAATAGAAACATCAAGATCATACCGGTCATTCCAGTGGAATCGCAAATACACAGATAGAAAATATATTTATAAATATATTAACGTTAACAATCAGCTAAGAGGGATCACTGTTAATATTAACCTTTGATTAGAAATCTAGATTTATTTAATATCTTAGTCTAAACAAACAAACAATCAATCATTTTATTTCTTCATCATTTAAATAATAATAATAAATAAATAAATATTTCCAACACTCACACCAATTAGCCTAGCCCCAAAGTAAGCACTATAAGGCTTGTGTTATGGCATGCTAGGGCAACGGATAGAATACATATACTGTACATATATAAGTATATTTTTTCAAAATACATATCATCCATGACTGGAGTACAAATGCTCGTATTCATCACACAAGCATCTGCCGAACCCGGGACCTCTCGAGTCGGCGACACCATGATACCCGGCGTACAAACCACTCGGCCACGGTGGTGGTCGTCTAATAAATAATTTCGTAATAGTGCCTAAATTTATTGGTATGACTAACTTTGTGACTAATTTATACATAATGCATAATTTTGATATTTTAAGCTATATATTGAATTTAATTTGTAATATCCATTTATATAAACTTAATTCTATATTTGCTGATTTATTGTTGTTAAAATGTGTGGCATGTTAATAGCATGACTGTGTTTCGTTATTTTAAATAATGTTAGTTTTAATACTTTCAATTAATCATCTTTAAAAAAAAGCTGCTCGTCTTAATTCCTGAATACCTGAGACAAATAGAATGAAGGCAAGCTGCTAACAGCTAATGTTTTTTTTAAACATGCCTTATCTGGCGGGCTTTGGTCCTGTTTTACCTGTTCCCGGAGCACGAGCACCGCAATTGACATTATATCACGTTTGTTATCGCGTCTAACTGTCAAACTCCAAAGTAATTTGACATTTGAGCGCGCGCATATCATAACGCGGTGCTCATTCTAGGGGGTGAAATTACTTATCTGGCACATTGGTTCTATGCTGTTCTATATAGGAAGCCTCCTCATAAATGAAATTTAAACAATATCTTCTACGTTCTTTTCAGACACAACATCTGGGAGTCTGAACCTACTCACGCCTTCGTCGACCACCAGTCGAATCCGGGACTTCAACTCCAGATTCCAGGAGCGGGCTGCGTCTAACCTCCAGCCCGTCAGCCAACACCCTACCCCCACGATCACGCCGATACGCACACCAGAAGACCCTACACCCACGCCCAAACGTTCAGAAAACTTACTAAAACCTCCACCAAAAGTACACCTGGACGCGGGAAGCCACAGGTCGCGAGGTCACCACAAGAAGCGGGACGAACTACCCCACAAGAAGCCGAGCTATCTAAACCTAGCTTGCTCCGTAAACGGTTACACAAACCTTACCACATACGACTCCAAATTACGGCAGGACATCAACAAAAGTCGTGAAGCGTCACCGATACGGCCTATCACACACACTTACCAATACAAGAGCGAGAACAACTCTCTACTAGTCCCTGTGCCGGTGAGTGCTAATAAGCTGCTGGTTCCGACCTTCGGGCCTCATGATACAAGAACAGATTTGACAGCGAAAGCGCCTTCTAAGGCGCACACCGATCCCTATCTAGCGACGTCGCCGCTGCATGTCTACATGGCGAGCGAGAATAAACAGTTGAAGAACGACTTCCTTGGCGCCAACATGACGACCACGACGAGCAGGCCTTACATCTCCAGCGAGAGCAAGAACTTCGCGACTTCAATGTTGCACCAGCAGAACAGTGATGTCGTCGACAACGCTAAAGAGTTGTCGTTCAAGTCCAGTTACTCGGAAACGAATTTCCGGAAGACAGTGTCTACCAATGGCAAGGAAACTAGATACAGCTCGGAGTCTTACACCATATCCTCCAATGGCATGTCGAAAAGAGTGGAAATCACCAAGGAGAATGGGGAGAAACTGACGAGTCCAATGAAGAGCTTCATACAGCAAAGGGTCGAGAGGTTATACGGACCTGGAGCGCTCGCTCAAGGCTTCTTCAACCAGAAGAGGCACAAGATGAAGAGTCAGAGCGAGGACGACGACCCGAAAGTGCTGACGGAGAAATCACTCAACTGTCCGAGCGAGAGATTCGTCAGCCCCAGGAAATCATCGAGCTTCGAGAGCGAAAACGTCTTTACTAGTCCGAACGGAGAGAGCGATGCGAGCGTATCGTTGCCAGTTCTCAGGCATTTGAGGCCGGAGTTCCGCGCGCAGTTGCCGATCTTATCACCAAAGAAGAGTGTCAAGCCGGAACTCTCGCCCCAGAAACCCGAAGACATTCCAAGCCCCAAGACTGAACCGGTGACTGAAGCCAGTGTTGTGCATGTAACGAACGGTGTGTCTGTGATAAAGTTGAATGACTCCGCTCAGGAGGCTGTGAACGGTGTGAACAGTGTTAACGGTGTGGAGCAAAGTGCTGAGGAGGTCGTTAAGGATGCACATTACTTCCTTGCTTTGGAGAAGAAGGAGACTGAAAGGCTGCTGGGCATGGCCGCTGCCGCTGAGAAAGAATTGGAAAGCTTACAGGTGAGTTGAAACTCCATATTTCATTCTAGGTAGTTATAATTTCTATTATTTTAAAGCACCTAATTGCTTGATGTTTAAATCTAAAGAAAATATAGCTAGAAAAAAATCCACGCGGACCAGGCAGCAGACGGGACTCGAACCCGCACCCTTCGCAATCCGGGCGAATGCACTGACCAATTATGCTACCGCGGCCCTCACGGACCGCGTCGAAATTCCTCAAGCCATTCTTAAACTGCAAGGCAGCGCCATCTCTTCGCATTATAGGTAACCCACAATATCAAATGAATACTTTTACAAGTATTAAACATTTTAAAGAAGAAATAGCAAATATAGTTATAATTTCTATTATTTTAAAGCATGTAACTGCTTGATGTTTCGAGATGAGGGTTCGAGTCCCGTCTGCTGCCTGGTCCGCGTGGAATTTTTTCTAGCTATATTTTCTTCGTTTTAGGTAGTTCAATAGTTATTAGTTTCAATAAAAGACTAGACCATTGTCAGAAAAATCTGAATTTTTAACCTTTAGCGGAGCTCGATTGCGCCAATGGTTAGCGCGTTCGGCTGCGGTCGTTGAAGTTGAGCAACTTTCGCAATGGTCGGTCATTGGATGGGTGACCAAAATTCTTATATCTCGAGCTCCTCCGTGCTTCGGAAGGCACGTTAAGCCGTTGGTCCCGGCTGCATCTGCAGTCGTTAGCACCCACCAACCTGCACTGGGCGCGAATGGGGGGTCATGGCCCAATCTCCCTAATCCATCCATAGGGAAGGCGTGTACCCCAGCAGTGGGGACATTAATAGGCTGATGATGATGATGAACCTTTTGCGGCCGAATTTCAGCATTATGGTTCTGAAACCCTAGTCCAGCTACATCTTACGACAATTAACAGTTATATTGAGTCCGCGTGGTGGAGCCAAGCCCAATCTTTTTACTCATCCATCCACGGAACACAGAAAGAGATTAGAAAGGCTATCATAGGACCGTTAGTACGGGAACCGATGTCACCAACGCGCCCCCACTACACTTCCATCTGATAGATTATAGCCAATCAAATGACGCGACATAAAACAATCGTACCAATGAGCGCTCACAGCCGAGAGCATCGAGGCTTGTTGAAAATATATCGATGTATCGATATATCGATATTTTTTGTTCGATATATCGATACTTTTTGCCGATATATTTTGATTCGATATATCGATACATCGATACAAAATAACCAATATCGAAATTCGTATCAAAAACGATATTTTTTTAATTATTAGCGGCATATCACGATCTAACTAAATTCGTCTCTGGAAAAATCGTAACTGGATCTCAGATCAATGATATTCAACATATCTATGATCTGTGCTGTATTTAGTATTGTCTATGTCATCATTCGAAAATAGGGTCTATTTTTAGGGAGATAATTTTCGTTCCATTATAATAATAACGCGGAATACCGCGTGTGATATCTCGTGAGCTACTGTACGATATTTTTGGGAAAATTGGTCCGATATATCGATGTTTTTTTCGCGATATATCGAAGCCGATATTGATATTTTTTAAAAGATCGATGTATCGATATATCGATATTTTTCTCAACTTTCGACATCCCTACGACATAATCAGAATAAAGTTTTGGTCAAGTTATGAGTATTTGTTCACACATTACTGCGGCGCGCCTGCCCCGCCCACAAGGCCCTTCTAAACCTTTTCTGTGTTCTGTGCATCCATCCATATCGAATATAAATAGTATAATTATCACATTAATATTATAAAGAGCGAAAGTTTGTGAGTGTGTGTGTTACTTCATCACGTCTAAACGGCTGGAGCGTTTATAATAAAATTTGATATGGAGTTAGTTAGCTGACACCCTGTATTAACACATAAGCTACGTTTTAATGCGGGAAAATATCCCTAATAAACCGCGGGTAACACCGCGGGGCATAGCTAGTAATATATAAATACAAGCTGACCCAGCGAACTTCGTACCGTCATAAAAAAATAGGGGTTGGTGGTAGAAAGTTGAAAATTTAGGGATGTATGTATTTTTGTATGATGTATCATAAAAAAAACTTAAAAAAATATTTTTATCTAAAATTGGAAAAAAAAATTTAGGGGTGGATTACCCTTAACATTTAGGGGGATGAAAAATAGATGTTGTCCGATTCTCAGACCTACCCAATATGCACACAAAATTTCATGAGAATCGGGAAAGCCGTTTCGGAGGAGTTTAACCACAAACACCGCGACACTAGAATTTTATATATTAGATACATTCTACTGTAGTGGGAAGATAAATAGACCGAGACAGGCAAACTAAGACAAAGAAAATAAAAAGCATTTTCTAAGTAAGACCCACCTTTTTGAGATTATGTCAAGTTCTTTAAAAAAAACAAGCAATGACATTAAATAAAACTAGTTTTTACGGGTTAATGCACGAAACTTTATTTATTTATTGACGTTTCGCAGCCTTTTCAGGTCGTTCCTCGAATGATGCGCGAGGCTATTGAGATTAAAAAATATCCAAATTTCAATAGGGAAGATGGTTGGTATATACCACCAGCTTGGGAACCTATTATACAGGAGATAAAATCCCAACCCCGAGCACACACTGCAAGACCATCAGATACTATTAGTTCTTTTTGTTTGCATAATTTAACATAAGAAGGAGATAGAAAGCCTCTCTTGAGTTTGTTTCGCCGGTTCTTCTCAGGAAGGTCTCCCAATTTTGGAACCGGTGGTAGTTTACGGTAGTTAGGGTCAAATAAATAAACTCAAAATTACAAACAAGAATTTTAAATAAAATACTTTATTAAGTAAATTAAATAATAAATTCATACATAGACAATAAAATATTAAAAATCTTCCAATGAAATAACCGAACGCTCAATATAAGTCTTTCGAAGGTAGCTCGACAATTTTAAATAAAAAAAATCATTATTCTGACGATGCAGACCTGAAAAGGCTGCGAAACGTCAATAAATAAATGAAGTTTCGTGCATTAACCCGTAAAAACTAGTTTTATTTAATGAGTGATGTGCGTGAAAACCTAAGAAACAAATAAGCAATGACATAATAATTCCGTCCACTGACTGATAAGATAAAAAATACTATTAGTTTATTAAAACATTATGTTAACATGATGTTTTGATTGATATGCGAAAAATTTATATACCTAAGTGTATTTAGCGCATATAAAAAATTAAACTGAGTGGGTAGATAACATAGTTGGGTCAGGGTGCGTCTCGCAAGTGATATGTATGACTAGGTACTATTGTTATTGTTTTCGGCATGTATGATATAATAAATAATAAAAATAAATATTTCCAACACTCACACCAATTAGCCTAGCCCCCAGGGTAGGGCTGCCATCCGTCCGGGTTTTCCCGGATTTGTCCTAGTTTACGAGGCGTCCGGGGAGCGTCCGGGCGGGGTTTTATATGTAGTCCGGGTTTAAAAATTTACGCCAACGCATGAATGGCCCTTGGTGCTGCAAGTGTCCATGGGCAGCAGTGACCACTTATTATGAGGTAGACCGCTAGCTCTTTTGCCTAGATCATCATAAAAAAGTTGATTTGTGATATTTTTAACTGTTTTTTATTGGTCCGGGTTCTGGGCTCCAAAATCCGGGGTTATCACGCGTCTTATCCTGGTTACCACATTTAAGAGATGGCAGCCCTACCCCAGGGTTAATTTTCAAACCTAAATCAGAGTCAAGTACATTAGGAGGGTTTTATTTAGGTTTGGCTCTACCTTTACCTTAAAAAAACGGTTTTCCTAAAAAGCGAAATGAAATAGCTTTTGAATCAATTAAGCGGTTTTTAAGGTTTTCATTTCGCTCTTACCGATGGCTGAAATAAATACACAACTACAAAAGGAATAACTTGACTTACTAGACGCTAGCAAACGTGTCAATAAATGCATCAATCTCTGAGCATTAACTGACTGAGTTGTGACTTGATTAGTTCAAACAAAACAAACTTCAAGCGATGCCGACGCGTGCACGTGTCGCTCTGGATTAACCGGTTTAATTAAGGTTATAGGTACCGCTTTCATTTCGGACGCGCTACGAACGAAACCTCTACTAAAAACCGGTATTTACCTTTATTTACCGGTATTTTTGAAACCGGTTTTAAGCCCTGGCATTCTAGGGTAACTGATAGAATACATATACTGTACATATATAAGTATATTTAGATAGAAATACTTTTTAAACGTCCATAACTGGAGTACAAATGCTCATATTCATCACACAAACATCTGCCCCAACCGGGATTCGAACCCGGGAGGGACCTCACGAGTCGGCGACACCATGAAACCCGGCGTACAAACCACTCGGCCACGGAGGTCGTCAGAAAGACTACAAGTTCTAACTTGACCAGGTCACAGGCTAACCTCCAATAAGGACGCGTGGTTTCAACCGTGGCGACCTTTGACTACACAAATTGATTATATTTATTGGTGAAAACAATTAGCTCTGATCTTGAGCTAAAACTGCGTTAGCTTGTATGGACAGGATGCCCTTGGTACATTGTTTCATTAGATTTAGTAATTAAAAACTACCGCCAGACTTTCATGGTGGTTAGCGCGTTCGGCTGCGATCGTTGAAGTTAAGCAACTTTCGCAGTGGTCGGTCATTGGATGGGTGACCAAAAATTTTCTATCTCGAGTTTCTCCGTGTTGGTCCCGGCTGCATCTGCAGTCGTTAGCACCCGCCAATCCGCACTGGGCCCGCATGGTGGTGTCATGGCCCAATCTCCCTATTCCATCCATAGAAAAGGCCTGTGCCCCAGCAGTGGGGACATTAATAGGCTAATGATAACACGCATGTCAATACAAAACGTCATTTACATTGAATGAGAACTCGGAAATAGCGATTGCAACTCCTTATATATACGCAACCAGCAAAATGAATTGTGGTGCATATTAGTAGACCAGATTAAAACTTTATATGCACAAATAATTGTAATGTATGTATGTACAGTAATTTATTATTTCCTCGTTTCATAACGCCGTACAAGCGTATGCCACAAAATACGGATAGTACAGAAGTTAATCTCGTGTAGAATGCGATTCAACTAAGAATAGGACCGACTGGGCGCCATATTGTGAAGTCATAGCTGTCGACTCAAACTAAATAGGTAGAGTGAGCAAAAAAAAGTTTTTCTTTAATAAAACTTATTTACTAAGATTAAGTGAGAAAAAGCATCAGATTTTTTTAATAAAATTTATTTATAAAGACTGTGTGAGAAAAAACATTAATCAGAATGTAGCTATTCAATTCCGCTCATCCTTGCATTACCGCCGGAGTAGTTATGAATAATCATGCACTATTACTAGGTCACATACGAACATGCATCCTTTATGTAAACGAAAGTTTTATATTGAGTTTATGAACGCAACTTAATGTGACATTTGCTTGACGATTTAGGTTATCAACCAGTCATAACCAAAGCTGAATAAGTGAAAAAAAAGTGCTTGAACACCACTCAAGCACTTCTTGGTTCACATCACAGTCACGCGCGGACCGTATAAAAGTCAAGATGCCGCAGATCTCCGTGAAAAAATGCAAAAAAAATATTTATAGTACGTAAAGTGACGTTTTTTCGACAGATATCTAATCAATGTTTGTTAATTTAACGCATATGAAGCAAGTTTTGTTCTAATACTTACATTAAACTGATTTAATAGAAAGTGTTTTTGATATTCAAATGCATGATCGGTAATATAGCCGTCTCTTTTCCTCGCGGTCCGTAACTGCTATTTTGCTAACAGAGCATTTAGAATTGCGCGTAGAGCCAAAGGAATAAGGTCAATATTCTTCCGCATTTAACAATAAGTCAAAAAAGGTTACGCTCTTGCATTTCGAACTGTCATAACTCTTTGACGCATGCATTTTAATTGAGACCTTATACAGTGTGAATTAAAGGTGACTTTCAATGTTTAAATAATGCCTTATTTTGTTTTTGACTACGCGATCATCTTCCGGAGCTCCGTGGATCGTCCAATGTACCTTTTGGACAGGTTTCGGCCACGATTTTGTTCCTGTTGGTGTATCTAGGGTATTTAATAACGGCATTCAGTCGCATCGGATGCGCGCATCCAAACCTGGCATAGTTATCGCGCAACGTTATTCTGAAAACGCACACCCCTGCGTTTCAGCGATGCTCAACGGCTTTGTCCAAGTTTCTACGGCATGTGCCCGCGGTACATAAACGCTGCAACTGCCGACATTGTATGTAGGGGTTACAACATTGTAGAAAGGCCAAAGGGGGAGATCTTCCTCCAAGCTGGATGATGATGCTCGGGGGCCGCGGCCCGACTGATGTTGGTCGGGCATCGTATATATCGAGTGTTAGCATCCGAATTTCACTTGCGCGATGTAGGCTTCCATACGTATTGATCGCAGCGTCGGTAGCGCCACCTCTTGAGGAGGCGAGTGACTATTTCCTCCATGTTCATTATATGTGGAGTATGTAGATGTCGCCGCCACAACATAAGCCGTATTCTTTGCGTTGTTTATTTGGATTCTAGGCGTATATACGATCAAAGGCTGCACTGCAACTGATGAAAAATATACATTACTGTTTGACGTAAATATGTATGTGAATGAGCAAAGTGCACCATTTCCGTTTATATATTGTTCATGGTATGTCGGTCCACTAATACAATATTTATGAACTTATCGTATAATAAACATGTGATTCATTCCAACGTCACCGCATACCTTGGTTTTTGTCAAAATATGTTATGTTTATTTATTTAAAACTTGTGGCTTTAAACATTACATAAATTAGCTCAGACTAGGTTTGGTATTGCCGGTATGTACATAGCTGTAGCCATATTTATTTACGCCAAAATTTTATCAAAGCCACATGTGATAGGGATGTGTGTGTCAACACGCCTTTGTAGTGTACCTACTTATGACAATTTGTTATAAGTAGATATCGGACTATCGACCTCCGGTCTCGGAGGGGAGTGATATGGCGGCGACATCTACATGCCCCACATATAATCAACATGGAGGAAATAATCACCCACCTCCTCAAGAGATGTCGCTACCGGCGCTGCGCTTACAACGTATGGAAGCCTACTTCGCGCTAGGGAAATTCGAAGGCTAACACTTAATTATGCAATACCCGACCAACGTCAGTCATCCAGCTCGGAGGAAGATCTCCCCTTTTGTCCTTCCTACAGCCTGTTAATATACCTGATAGATAGATAATATGACACTATCAGAGCAGGTTTTTTGTTACATTTTATAGCACCAGTAGCTGAGTTGAGGTCCCAAGGTGCTTCAACGCCGATTCGCCAATTTACGCCATATCAAACAACCATACATACATTAAGTGCCTGTCCATATATCCACGTTACGGCGTCGCCAACGTAGAACTGTGCGGTAACGCGGCACGGTGCGTTGACATAACGTGCAAATTAAAAACGTTACCGTAGCTAAAGTCAAAATGCACGTCATGACGCCGCAACGTTACACGTCGCCGTGCCTTATAAAGTTTTTTTTTGTTAATTTTTGTTACCTCCCAGGAGGGAGAGCGGGTGTGCAATCCTCATGGATACCCTACAGCCGGCTGTAGGGTTATGTCAGACTCTTACTGACTAAAACACACCCGTGGGGGATGCGTATGGCCTTAGGGGCCTTACAGGCTTCATCTGATGCGATCAACCCCTGAGAAGGGGATGATGCAGATTATAATGTTGTAGTCAGCGTTATTAAATACCCTAGATACAACAACACGAACAAAATCGTGACCGAAACATGTCCAAAAGGTACATTGGACGATCCACGGAGCTCCGTAAGATGATCGCGTTGTCAAAAACAATATTTAAACATTTGAAGTCACCTTTAAGCATACTGTGTAAGGTCTTAATTAAAACGCATGCGTCAAAGAGTTATGACAGTTCGAAATGCAAGCTCCTAAAATTTTACGACTTATTGCTATACGCGGAAGAATATAGACCTTCTTTCTTTGTCTCTACGCGCAATTTTGAGAGTGCTGTTAGTAAAATAGCAGGTACGGACCGCGAGGAAAAGAGACGGCTATATTACCGACCATGCGTTCGAATATCACAAATATTTTCTATTAAATCGGTTAATAGTAAATATTACAACAAAATTGCTTCAAATGCGTTAAATTTACAAACATTGATTAGGGAATCTGTAACCTTTAAAAACGATACTGCGTACTATAAGTTTTTTTTCGCGAAGCTCTGCGGGATCTTGACTTTTAAACGGTCCGCGCGTGACTGTGAACCAAGAAGTGCTTGAGTGGTGTTCAAGCACTTCTTGGTTGGGATACATTTTGAGCGCACGTGGTGTATCTAGGATATTTAATGTCGTTGGTTGTAGTACATTCTTCACTAACCTCATCGTCATAGCTAGGTCAGCTTACGACGACGTCAGACGCGCAGTCCCCCGGTGACGTTACCAACGGCTGCACTAGCACAACCAACCTTGTCGTGACACCGTACCGTTCCACGTTGAACAAAGTGACGTGCAGATGTGGGCAGGCCTTTTTTTATATATAGCCAGGTAGGCAAATGACTCTACCCCATCTGATGTTAAGTGGTGATAAAGTTAAAACGCGAAGATAGCTGATACAGCAGTTATAAACTGCCACACCAACCATCCTCACCTTGCCTGCAAGAATGCTCTTCACGCCTCTCTTAAAGGAGCCCAGATTGTAGGAAGGAGCGAACACGTGCGCGGGTAAACAATTCCACTTACCCTTAAGCAATATCAAAGATACATTCATATCCCCGCGTGGTGGGTCATACACAGCCCGTCCTTCTTATTCCACCCATAGGGAACTATCATTTTCAGCAGAGCTTTTGGCTAAATCCATGATGTGTCTAGTGACTGACAATTTATTTTCTCACTAGATCCTTATGTGTAGCTATGGATCTACAATTATTTTTGAAGTGAAACTTCATGGAAAAATCCTATGGAAAAGATGAAAAGGAAATGCGTCACGAGCGTCACACGGCCAGAGCCTTGACCACCGAAGACGTGTATGTAGCTTGCCTCTCGGTGTTTTATCGGTTACTATTCGGAGAGTGTGCGGAGGTTTTACATAATTTGATCCCCCCTTCCCCTTTCCACCACCGGACGACCAGGCGCGGCGAGGGCTTCCACCCTTATGTTGTCGGAGTTCCTCCCATTCGCACGAAGCGATTTGCTTCCGCCTTCATTATGCGTGGAACTCCTTGCCGAGGTCTGTTTTTCCGGACCAATATAATCTGGACATCTTCAAGGCCAGAGTGAACAGGCATCTTCTAGGCAGGCGTGTACCATCCTAGGCTCATCATCGCTTTCCATCACGTGAGATTATGGACAAACGCATTGCCTATTTTGCATTAAAAAAATATATATATTTGTACATATATATGAGTGATGCGTTGCTCCATTTCCCTGTGCCTTATGCACCGCCTAATATTAGGTTATTTAAGAAAAGAACTTTAACTTTAGATATGTGCTCCGTGCACACAATTTTTTTTCCCTCTGTAGATCCATGCTGGTCACCTGAGACATCTCAAACTTTATTCTTGCTTGTGATAGAATGTGTGTTTTTGAATATTTCATCAGCATTAGTTCCAGAAGTTGGGGCATTGGCTAATGATAAGAGCTAGAGGAGCTCGATTTCGCAAGTGGTTAGCGCGTTCGGCTGCGATCGTTGAATTTAAGCAACTTTCGCAGTGGTCGGTCATTGGATGGGTGACCAAAAATTAACTATCTCGAATTCCTCCGTGATTTGTAAGGCACGTTAAGCCTTTGGTCCCAGCTGCATCTGCAGTCGTTAGCACCCGCCAATCCGCACTGGGCCCGCGCCCATAGGGAAGGCCTGTGCCCCAGCAGTGGCGGCATTAATAGGCTGATGATGATGAAGAGCTATTTAGAGTCTTAAAATATTGTGTTTGTTGTTTCCAGGATCAAGATGTGAGCGAAGAAGTCTTAGGGCTCCTCAGGGCGGCGGCTGGTAAAGCTAGACTGCTTGCCACCCAGAAGATGCAGCAATTTGAAGGTGAGAAACCATTGCTTTCTGAGTCATTGATATGTATATAGAAACTGCATACAAATTGGAAGTAGCCGATCCTATAAGGCTTCATCATCAGCCTATTAATGTCCTCACTGCTGAGGCGCGGGCTTTCCCTATGGATGCAATAGGGATATTAGGCCGTGACCCACCACGCGGGCCTAGTGCGGATTGGCGGGCGCTAACGACTGCAGATGCAGCCGGGGCCAACGGAACCCGGACCCTTCTGAAGCACGGAGGAACGCGAGATAGAAGATTTTTGGTCACCCATCCAATGACCGACCGCTGCGAAAGTTGCTTAACTTCAACGATCGCAGCCGAACGCGCTAACCACCCGCGCCATCGAACTCCTCAAAGGCTTGCGTGGAAATATGTATCCAACGTAGAGACCGTTTTACTTGACTTTAATCTTATTATTACCGTACTTCATTTTAAGCAAAAGTTTTATTAATATTGTATTGTATAGGTTTATGCTACAACAACATAAACGAGCGAGCCGACGAGCCGTTCCCCACCACCGTCCAGGACCTGCAGGGGTTCTGGGACATGGTCCGTCTGCAGCTCGACAACGTGGATGCTCTGCATCAACAGATATATAGGCTCAAGGACAACGGCTGGAGGGAGGTGAGTTGAGCGTTTACATAAAAACACTGCCTGTCGATCTATATGCACTACCTGTGGAACTATATACACTACCTGTCGACCTATATACACTACCTGTCGACCTATATACACTACCTGCCGATCTATATACACTACCTGTCGACCTATATACACTACCTGTCTACCTATATACACTACCTTTCGACCTATATCCACTACCTGTCTACCTATATCATCACTCAATACGAATTTTGCGTCCAATTTCTTTGTAAGAGATTTTGATTTCTTATACTTAAGAAGATTGCAAGATTGCTATTCTTTCTAGCTGTCAGGACCGCGGTAGCATAACGGTCAGTGTATCCGCCCGAATAGCGAAGGGTGCGGGTTCGTGTCCCGTCGTGCCTTTGATTTTTTCTAGTTAAATTTTTTGTAGATTCAAACATCTAGCAGTTAAATGCTTGAAAAAATAAAAATATAACAACAAGAACTGTGTCAAAAAGCGATACAATTTAACTACTATCAGGGCCCAATCCAAGGGGGGCGAGCCGGGCATTTGTCAAGAGCGGCAAAAATTAGGGGCGGTCAAATTGACTTAGGGTCAGCCGTAAAGTGCGGCAAAAAATTTTGCCGACACTATCAGGGGGGAGCCGGCCATTTGCCCAGAGCGGCAAAAATTAGGGGCGGCAAAAGTGACTTAGGATCAGCCGTAAAGTGCGGCAAAAATTTTTGTCGACCCTATCAGGGCCCGATCCAAGAGGGGCGAGCCCTGCATTTGCCCAGAGCGGCAAAATTGACAAAGGGTCAGCCGTAAAGTGCGGCAAAAAAATTTGCCCGGAGCGGCAAAATTTCTAGTTCGGGTCCTGACGAACTATTTAGATACGAATTTTACTATTACTTAGCGACACCCAGGACGTCTGTGTGTTCTATTCAAAGTTTTAACGGTTCTCTCACTGTGTTAATATATCTGCTAACACCGTGTGTTCATCAAATGTCTTATTTTTGTTGATCAGGAGGCTTAATCAATGGATAACGAAATTTCGATCGAAACTCCACACTTTTCGTACTATGTTTCTGTGGTTTTAAAAGTGATAATGTTACGAATGATAATGAAGTTTTAAAAATGAATATCTTTCATCAAAATGTATGTGGCATAAATACGAAAAAACATGAAATTGATATGTATGTCAATATGCAAAAAATAATTCCAGCTTATGTATGTCTCACAGAACACTTCCTAAATGAATCAAATATTTCATTGCTTTCCTTAAGTAATTACAAATTGGCTTCTTTTAATTTTAGATCAAATATGAAAAGAGGTGGAAGCTTAATACTTAGTCATAATAATAATGATTGTAAGTCACTATCTATATGTTCTAATCTGTATACGAGGGAAGTTTTCGAAGTATGTGGTATTAAAGATGCGAATACAAGTGTCAACATTATATGTATTTATAGAAATGATAAGAAAAAATACTTTGCTAAGTTTATGGCACAATTAGAAAAACTGTTAGAGCATTTTTTTGACAAGAAGTGCCTCATATGTGGAGACTTTAATGTGGATCTTATAAATGACAATACACAAAAATCTGAGTTTCTTAACTTACTTAAATGTTATAATTTCAAACCATTAATTCATACTATTACCTACATCAAAGGTGAGGCAAATTCTAGTTTGGACAATTTTTTAACAAAATTGCCAGATGGTGTGGTTATATCAACAAAAGTAGATCATAATGGCCTTTCAAATGGACATGCTGGTATATTCTGTGAATTAAATGTTCCAGAAGTAAAAGTATCTTCGCGGAATCATGATTATATTGAGACAAATATAAGGCTTTTTAATGAAAAAAATAATAATACATTTAGACAATATATATCGAAACATAATTCGACCAGTGTTGGCATTAATGGGTTCTTAAAGAATATTAGTGAATCTTTTAAAAAAAGCTTTAAATTAGTTAAACGTAAATTCAAAGTAAAATCTGATCACATTAAGTGGATAACGAAAGGTATCAAAACATCAAGCAAAATGAAGCGTTTTTTAATATCAGCTCATAAGTCAAACTATGATGAATCAGTTTTGAAATATAGAAACAAATATATTAATATCTATAGACGTGTAATCAGAAGTGCACACAGGTTAGCTGTACAAGCAGAAATAAAGAAAGCTAATTGCTCTAAGGCTATTTGGAAAATTGTTAATAGGCATAGAAATAAAATTAAAAGTGGTAGACAGGAAAAAATTGTTCTCAAAGATAACAATAAATTAGTACACAACCCGCAGGAGGTAGTAAATCTTTTTTCTGAAAGGTTTAATCAGGTCCACAATAAAAAAAGTATAACAACAAATTTGTCTGATTTTATTTTAAAGGCTCAAACACCTTATATTAAACGCAGCTTGATTTGGGAGCGGATCACGCCAGCAGAAGTTCGTAAAGTCGTTAGTAAAATGATAAGTAAAAAATCTTGTGGATACGATCATTTGCCAATTTCGTTAATAAAGAATAATATTGATATTTTAGCGGAACCGTTATCAACTTTTTTTAACTCGTGCTATGACTCAGGAATGTTTCCTGGTCAGCTTAAAATAGCAAAAGTAATTCCTGTATTCAAAAAAAGAGTCAAAACAGATCCCCATAATTATAGGCCAATATCACTGTTACCTACAATATCAAAAATATTTGAAAAACTGATTAAAAATCGACTTGTTGAACATCTTCTTACAAATAATATAATTAGTGAACGACAGTTTGGTTATCAAAAAAAGGTAGGTACAGGCGAGGCAGTAGAAACACTTTTATATGATGTAGCACAATATCTTAACGTTAAAAAGAAAGTTGTTGGAATATTCTTGGATCTCAGGTCTGCTTTCGATTTAGTAAATCATGAAATGCTCATAATTAAGTTGGAACATTATGGCATTAGAGGAAATTGTTTAAGACTTTTAAAATCCTATTTAGAGAATAGACATCAATATGTAGAAATAAAAACTAACATTGACGGAAAAATTAATGACTGTAAATCAAAATTACAAAGATAAAAAGGCGTGCCCCAGGGATCAATATTGGGACCTATTTTATTTTTATTGTTTATCAACGATTTAGATAATTACATTTGTGATAATATTAATGACATAAAAATTACTCTGTTTGCGGACGACACTAGTGCAGTTATTTCAGCCAACAATAGTGAAGATCTAAGTCGTAAAACTAAGCAGGCTCTATCAGCATTTAGTAATTGGTTTGATGCAAATGACCTTATTTTAAATTTTGACAAAACCAATATAATGTTATTTCGTACGACGGCAAGAAATAAAGAAAATTTGGATATTACTTTAAACCACAAAAATATAAATCTAGTAGAAGTAGTAAAGTTTTTAGGAATTTATATTGACTCATACCTCAACTGGAAGCAAGAATTGGAGAAAATTGAGAAAAAAATTAGTTCAGCCTGTTATTGTTTAAGAAGCTTACGTGACGATATTACAGTAGAGCTACTAAAAATAGTATATTATGCACTAGTCGAGTCTCATTTGCGGTATAGTATTAGGTTTTGGGGCAATTCATATAAATTTAATATACAGAGAGCTTTTGTGTTACAAAAAAGAGCTATCAGAACTGTAGTCCGTATTCCACAATGGGAATCATGTAGAGAATATTTTGTGAAATTGAAGATTTTAACCGTTCCCTGTCTTTATATATTAACAGTTTTGTGCAACTTAGCAAAAAATTTTGATACTTTTGAAACGCTAATAGACAGGGAAAGACGTTTGAAAACACGCAGAAAGGATCTACCACATCTGATCAAACCTAAACTTAAGATTGTTAAACATAGCTGTAGGTACCAGGCGGTCGAAATTTTTAATAGGCTTCCAATCAGTTTGAAATCGATTATTGATTACAAATCTTTTCAAAATAAATTGAGGGACTTCTTGTTGAAGAAGTGTTATTACAGTGTTGACGAATTTATGAGACAGGATTAGATTGACATTTTTTTTTTATATATAATATGAATTTTATCCAGTTTGACATAGTGTATTTGTATTTTCTTTTTATTTGTTACAATTTTAATAATCCACTTTGACATCAAAAATTTGTAATTTGATTTATTATTTTATTTATGTTTGCTTTTATTTTATTTTGAATTATTATTATTTCCAACAAAATTATATTGTTAAATGGAATAAATGAATTGAATTGAATTGAATTTTTAATTATAATATAATATTCGTCGTCGAGGAGGAGCTCGATGGCGCAAGTGGTTAGCGCGTTCGGCTGCGATTGCTGAAGTTAAGCAACTTTCGTAGTGGTCGGTCATTGGATGGGTGACCAAAAAATTTACTATCTCGAGCTCCTCCGTGCTTCGGAAAGCACGTTAAGCCGTTGGTCCCGGCTGCATCTGCAGTCGTTAGCACCCACCAATCCGCACTGGGCCCGCGTGGTGGGTCATGGCCCAATCTCCCTATTCCATCCATAGGGAAGGCCTGTGCCCCAGCAGTGGGGACATTAATAGGCTGATGATCATGATGATGTGGGGCATGTAGATGTCGCCGCCACACATTCATCAAAATTATTCAATTCAATTCAAATTATTTATTTCAGAACTAGGTTCCATAGTGTTAGTTACATTTGATTTACTTATAAATATCTCTTATCTATTAGACAAGTCCGTCTGTCTGTGGTGCTGTTTCAGCGGCCAAACCGTAAGAGATAGATAAAGAGAATGTTTAAGTTATAAGTTAAGAATAGTCTGATAAGACTACAAACCGGGTTTGAGTAACGTAGCACTTCCGGTTTTCGAGAAATCAGATTTTGGTGAACATTTGGTTCACTGCTTTGCTAGTGTTAGCATAATAAAGAATTACATAAAATAATACTTTTGAATATAAAATTATGTTCATCAAATGTCTTTTCTTTTTTTGTTGATCAGATATCGTCTCCCCTACCCCGTGCGGCCAATCCCCCGTCGGGTAGCGGGTCTAGACCCCGAGGTCGTAATCCCCTACCCGGAACACTACCCGCCACTCGTAATAACAACGAAAAGGCAAGATTGGCCGCCCAGAAAAGGGATGCGGACAGGAAGGCCATGTTGGAACATAGGAGGTGAGTCGTTGAAAAGATATACATTTTTTGGAGTTTACTCCTTAAGAATCGATTTGCATATATAAGGGACCCGGTATGAGAAAAATGTGAGGAGTAAAATCTATCGATGAATGACCTCGTTACGTTTTGGGTGCGCATCCTATGTCGCGCAACTTTGACAAACAAAGATGACGGATTGACATTAATAAAATTTTTAAAATCTGAACTGAATTTAGATATTGTTTCTGATAGAGCAATGGGGACAACGAGGTATGGTACAACCATTAATGCGGTATTTTCAAGATTCGTGAACCACGTATCTACGAACGTCCATGTGTCTTATTTTAGTTACCATAAACCACTTGTCACTGTAATTAATAACGCAGACAATGTTGATTTAATTAATATTTTAAAAAATGATAATAGTCTGATAATAATAATTACATAATTTATCAACATTCCTAATGATATATTTATGCACATCTGAAATTGACTATTGTAAAAGTTTAATGTAAAATATTTCGTCGATTAGTTATAATAAATGTATATGAAATGAATAAATATATATTTATATATGTATATTATTTTCATTAATTTGTTAATTTAGCCTTTCATACAGTATCAATATTTTTTAAGTTAAATAAACTCTTTTTGCGTCTGGTTAGACTATCGAACTTAAGGAGTAAACTCCAGTCGTGCGTCGGAGCTGACACACATATGAATAAATGAAATGAAATAAAAATGACAATTACAGAGCTAAAAAGCACACCATAAATCATTATCATCATTATAATGTATGTCTATATGAATATACTTATACAGGATGTTACAAAATTCCGAAATAAAATTTGTAGGTATGTATTTCGAAATAAAAATTTGTAGGTATCTGAGCGGGGCGCCTGGGGGAGGGGGGGGGGGTCTGTTTAGGTAGTAGTAATCGTACGCATTTATAGGGTTGTCATAGGCAGGTGTAAAACGATATTTATATTAATTTAATTAGGAAACAAAAGTAGTCTGAAAGGCGTCAAACTTTCGTAGGTAATTCTATACAAGGAACACAAGCAAACCCTAAAGTTTTATTTCGGACTTTTGTCACACCCTGTATATGTATCAGTATATGAATTATAGTGCTTACTTTGGGGTTAGGCTAATTGGTGCGTGTTGGAAAAATATTTATTTATAAAAAAATCTCCTGCGTACAAACTCAACATACAAAGCATTTTCCGCCTCCATAAAGTATGATTTCTAAGATGAAAGGATAAAAACTACCATTATGTAATATATCCCACTAATATTGTAGATACGAAATTGTGTCTGTCTGTTATCTGTTCACGATTACACTACTGAACCGATTTAAATGAAATTTGATATACAGAACAATTGCAGAGCTAAAAAGCACGCCGTAAATCGCAGAGATTTATCCGGCGTGCTAAGTACAACACGATTCAGTATCTTTATTTATTTATTCAGTAACACATGCCGGCTTACAGAAATATCCAAAACGCCGGCAAGTCATACATAAAAACATTAACATACGAGTACATTCCGATTCAACAAAATTAAGAAAAACAGAAAAGAAAAATAATAAACAAAAAAGTAATGTCAAATAGATAAAAAAAAGTCAAATTGCCCATTGTAAAATTTTTAGTTAACATTATAATAAAATAAATAATCATGTCAAATTAATAAACAATTAATAATGTCATATCATTCCAAGAAATTAAAGAGATTAATGTCAACTAAGTACAATTAATGTCAAATATAATCTAATCTAATTAATAAATAATGTCATACCAATTTAAAAAAAAGAAATGATGTGGTGTCGTGGGACACCAGGTAGGAACGAAGTTCCTTCGGCTAATGTAGAATCGACACAAATTGCAAACTCGCTTGTGTATGCGACTGTCGCGCCTGCGCACGTCTCATTTAACGGTTTTATTCCACGCACTTTTTTCCACGGATTTTTTCTTACGGTTTTACTATCACATTTTTTTCAGTTCGGTCGCGCAGCAAAATCCCTATCCCCGCCAAGCCTGCCGTAAGGAACTTCGTTCCAATAAATAAATTGTCAAATTCAGAATTATTCATCATATCATATTAACATACGTGGTTAGTTAGTTACCATTAATTATTTTTGAAGTGAAACTTCTTTATCGGCGTTGGAAAAAAAATTATCGTCACTATTTTTTCGGTTACGCGTCACGTTTTTTGGTTACGCGCCATCTTTTCTTTAAAAGAGCACTATTTACCTCATCCGAACAATTGCTTCTTCTGTCAACTTTAAAAAAAAAAGTATCGACAGCAAATATTCGTGTTTCACACAAGGTAAGGTAAGGTAAGGTGTAGTTATACCCCTTTAGTGGGTGAGTTTTTGAAAAATCTTAGCGCACGCCTATATATATATTTCTGGAAAGTTGCATGTAGATCATTTTTCGAAAAAAATAAGGCCATAAAGAAGTTTCTCTTCTTACGTGTGTACACTAGTACACGCACACATTTTTTTACATGTATCATTACAACTGTTGAGCGAGAGGTGAATAGCAAATATAAATTATGAGAACTTATGTTTTTCTAGTAAAATTTGAGATTTACATTTAAAGATCTAGCTGTTACATGCTTAAGTAATATAAGATAGTGTGAATGGCAGATTTCTGCCAACTTTAAGTGTGTATTCCGTAATATATACCAGTATACTGGCCAGTGCACTGACGTCATAAATCGACGAAATATTAAAAATAGTGCGAATGAAGTTTTTTTTAATCACCTCACCAATAGGGATGATGACTAATTTTTTTTTCTTCGTTTATCAGGTAGATTATGAAAAAGTATTGGACACGTATTTTTTCTTTTTTCACATAATATAAACATTGCAGAGATATATTGATTTGAAAAGTCGCATGACGTCACGTTTGAGTACACTTATAAGTGAAAATTCACTCAAAAGTGACGTCACGAGCCCCTACTCCCAAACTTTGACGCGCTATAACTTGGTCATTTTTTGGTTGATTGCCCAAAGAAAAAATACGTGTCCATTATCTCACGCAGGCTCGGTCATACGTCATTACCACTGGCCAGTATACTGATGTATATTTCGGAATACACTCTAAATAAACTCATGACAGTGGTGATGTCAGATTTCTGTAATGAGTTGATAAAATTATTTTTCGAAATTTTCCTAGCCTTAGGCTGCAAAGTAAGCGCCATCTCTTCGCATTGTAGGCAACCCACAATATCAAATGAATACTTTTTTTTTTTTTTTTTTTTGTTTTTTTTCGCCTAAGGCTAGGAAAATTTCGACGCGGCTAAGAGGGCCGTGGTAGCATAATGGTCAGTGCATTCGCCCGGATAGCGAAGGGTGCGGGTTCGAGTCCCGTCCGCTGCCTGGTCCGCGTGGATTTTTTTCTAGTAAACTTTTCTTTAGATTTAAACATCTAGCAGTTAAATGCTTAAAAAATAAATAAAAACATAACATCAATATACAATATGTTTGCTTTTATATGATAAACACAATGTCAGTGTTGCTAATCTATACATATAATAAATTGGTAGGAAAGTCAAAACTGTACATTGAATATTATTTTGAAAGAATACTTGGGGAGTGATCTACATTCCATACGGAAGCCAAAAATATATTTTTGAAGTGAAACTTCTTTATCGGCGTTGGAAAAAAATTTACCGTCACATTTTTTCGGTTACGCGTTACGTTTTTTGGTTACGCGCCATCTTTTTTTTAAAAGAGCACTATTTACCTCATCCGAACAATTGCTTCTTCTGTCAACTTAAAAAAAAAAGTATCGACAGCAAATATTCGTGTTTCACACAAGGTAAGGTAAGGTAAGGTGTAGTTATACCCCTTTAGTGGGTGAGTTTTTGAAAAATCTTAGCGCACGCCTATATATATATTTCTGGAAAGTTGCATGTAGATCATTTTTCGAAAAAAATAAGGCCATAAAGAAGTTTCACTTCTTACGCGTGTACACTAGTACACGCACACATTTTTTTAGAATTTTATCTTTTTGTCTTTTGAGTTTATCCCGGACATACATATAGACAAACCTGTATGTATGTCCGGGATAAACTCAAAAAGTGCTTACTGCATGGATTTACTTGAAATTAGTCACGAATATTACGCCGTGTTTCATGGTGTCGCCGACTCGAGAGGTCCCGGGTTCGAATCCCGGTGGGGGACGATGTTTGTTTGATGAATACTAGCATTTGTACTCCAGTTATGGATGTTTAATGTGTATTATATCCGTTACCCTAGCATCCCATAACACAAGCCTTACAGTGCTTACTTTGGGGCTAGGCTAATTGGTGTGAGTGTTGGAAATATTTATTTATTTATTTATATTATTAAGGAGTCGGGTCCGCATATAGTCTACATATTATCACGCTATCACCTACGGGGAACGAGCAGTGAACCTTTATTTCTAACTAACTCCACGCGTACCAAGTCGCGGGTGGCCGCTAGTTAATCCGGACTAATATTATAAATGCGAAAGTAACTCTGTCTGTCTGTCTGTCTGTTACTCTTTCACGCCAAAACTACTGAACGGATTTGAATGAAATTTGGTATACAGATGGTCTAGACCCTGAGAAAGGACATAGGCTACTTTTTATTGCGAAAAGGGGGTTGTAAGGGGTTAAAAGGGGGGGGTGAAAAGTTGTATGGGATTGGGAACTACGAAGCCAAACTCTACACCGAAGCGAAGCGAGGGCGGCCCGCTAGTAAGTAAATAAAGTGATATTTTTGTTTATTCAGGAGGATAGCTCGCGAGAAGCAAATGGCTGGCCCCAGTCGGGAACGAGATCAAGACATGAACATAGAAGGCACACAGGTATATTATATTAATACATATATTTAATTCAATATATATATGTAAATGTATATATGGATGTTTAATATGTATTTCTATATAAATATACTTATATATGTACAGTATATGTATTCTATCCGTTACCCTAGTATCCCATAACACAAGCCTTATAGACCAGGGTAGTTAATTTTTGAGACCAAAAAAAATTATAGTAGGATGAAACCCATTAGAAAGGTAGAGAATATAACAAAAATGAAAGGAAAAATAAATTACGGGCGATCTGAGGTCGAGAAGGGGGAGGGGGTGAGTTTTTAAGGGTAAAAATGGTTAATATCGATTTCCGGTAAAACTGCAAGTCCTATGAAAAAAAGTTAAATGGCAAAGTTGTAAGTAATTCACCTTATTTTGACTTAATATCCAAAAAGCACCCTAATTTTCAATCGAAAATTCTCACGTCAAAATATCTACTATTTTAAAACAGTTGGGGCGTTTTTTGTTTGTTCAAATCTCTACTTTCTGATGGTATAAAAAAAATATACACTACTATGATAAATGTTCTCAGAAACTGCAAATTAATAATGAAAAAAACTCCAATCCGAAAAATTGATTTGAATCATTATGTATAATTTTGAACTATTTATTAAAATTTACACTTTAATTACTCGAAAAACGTAAGATTTCATGTTATATTGATAAACAGAAAAATTACAAATCCATAAAACATGCAAAAATAGTTGTTGTAAGTAGGTATTAAAAATAGGATTTTCGGATTGGAGTTTTTTTCATTATTAATTTGCATTTTCTGAGAACATTTATCATAGTAGTGTATATTTTTTTTATACCATCAGAAAGTAGAGATTTCAACAAACAAAAAACTTTTTTAAAAAAGCAGATATTTTGACGTGAGAATTTTCGATTGAAAATTAGGGGGCTTTTTGGATATTAAGTCAAAATAAGGTGAAAAAATGAATATTTTAAATCAAAAAAATTACTGTATGTTTGGGACATACAAAGGTAAGTTTTCACCAAATTTCGTGAAAAAAAATTTTTTTTTGCAAAAAATAAAAATCAAAAACCAAAAACACGGTTATTCGCATTTTTCACATAAATTTTGAGGTTATGTGAAAAAAGTGTCGATACAAAACTTGTAGATCTTTTTATTACCTACAACTTTGCCATTTAACTTTTTTTCATAGGACTTGCAGTTTTACCGGAAATCGAGATTAACCATTTTTTACCCTTAAAAACTCACCCCCTCCCCCTTCCCGACCTCAGATCGCCCGTAATTTATTTTTCCTTTCATTTTTGTTATATTTTCTACCTTTTCTAATGGGTTTCATCCTACTATAATTTTTTTTCACTATTCACCATTTTTAAAATTATCGACCCTGGTCTATTAAGTGAGTGTTGCAAAAATATTTATTTATTAAAAATTTATTCTGCTGCGTACAAACTCATCATATAAACCATTTTTCGCCCCCTATAAAGTATGATTTCTGGGATAAAGGATAATAATTACCATACTATTATACTCGTATATCCCACTAATATTGTAAATACGAAATTGTGTCTGTCTGTTATCTGTTCACGCTTACACTACTGAACCGATTTAAATGAAATTTGGTAAAGAGATAGTTAAGAGTCCCGAGCAAGGACATAGGATGGTCTTATCTTAGAAATAATCTTTTACGGGGTGAAATTGGCCAAGCCTACGATGACGTCATAGCCTAGTAAAGTTCCGGCCACAGTGACAGAATTTTCCGCAAATACAGAACTATTTAATTAGTATGTGACTTGATATTTTCATGGTTTTTCAGTAATGGTCGTGCTAAATCTATAAAAAATTAACACGATCAGCGGTAAAAAATAAAAAAAAATATGTAACGGCAAATTTTTAGTTTGTGCGGCAAATTTCTTAGTTCCACCGTAAGGGTGAAGCCAAACGAGCGTAATTTTGTGAGTTGTGAGTCGCTTATTTTCGGTCACTTATTTTACGTCCAACTGAATTTCTGTTGAGCTGCCATACGAACGTAATTTATTCAGTTACTATTGAGCGTTAGTACGGGGTGTTCGTGTCGTCGAGTGCAATGGATCCATTAAAAATATTGTGTATTTACGAAGCATATTCAGAAGATGAGGCCAGGAAAAGAAACTGGGTAAACCCACTGAATAGCCAGAGGCTGATATGTGGACAGTTCCATACTTTATATGAACGTTTATGTGCAAATCCAGATATGTTTGAAAAGTACTATCATATGCCATTACGTGTTTTTCAAGAATTATTACACCACGCAATTTGTAACAAACTGTTGCTTCCCCACTCCCCTTCCTTGCCCTACTCTCGCCCCGACCGAAATTCGGACGTGCTTATGTGCATTGAGTCGGCAGACAACTCATTTTGCGTTGTCGTGTGGCACCAACTGCCTTTTTGTATGAAACCGAATGCAGCAGAATTTCTGCGACCGAAATTCTGCGACTCACCACTCACAAAATTACGCTCGTTTGGCCTCACCCTAACTACTAAATTCAAAATGTCAATTAGCTGGATGGCGCGGGTGAGGATGGTGGTTGAAGTTAAGCAACCCTCGCAGTGGTCGGTCATTGGATGGGTGCCCAAAAATCTTCTATCTCGAGTTTCTCCGTGTTGGTCCCGGCTGCATCTGCAGTCGTTAGCACCCGTCAATTCGCACTGGGCCCGCGTGGTGGATCACGGCCCAATTTCCCTATTCCATCCATAGGGAAGGCCTGTGCCCCAGCAGTGGGGGCATTAATAGGCTAATGATGATGAAACACAGCTGTTTTGGTCTAATCTCTTATCTATTAGACAAGTCCGTCCGTCTGTCTGTGGTGCTGTTTCAGCGGCCAAACCGTAAGAGATAGATAAAGAGAATGTTTAAGTTATAAGTTAAGAATAGTCTGATAAGACTACAAACCGGATTTGAGTAACGTAGCACTTCCGGTTTTCACAAAATCTCCGAAGTTCTCAATTAATTTTTTTTTTTTAATTGGTGAACATTTGGTTCACTGGTTTGCTAGTTTCTTTTTAACAGCAGTTTTGTAGTCGTACAATTTTGTCCGCACAGGAGGTAGAAATCTTCGTAGGCAGGGGTCCGAAGCCATCCACTAAGGCACCCCAGGGAGACTGTCCCACTCACACACACTCGGACGTCTCTCTCGCCGACAGCTGATCGCTATACAAACATAACAAAATCACTAAAACTTGAAAAAATCACTCAAAAAAGCGAGCGAGCCTTACATTAGTCGCGTTTGATGTGTAACATTTGAAACCTCACCTTATATTAGTTAAAAAAAGAAATAAAACCTACTACAAAAGGAATAAGCCATTTGAACATTACTGTTCTAAAATCAAATCAAAAAGCTTCCCAAACTTCCTGTTACACACTTCCGTCCCACTTCACGCAATCACTCCCACAAATCGCAGGAAAGCGAGAGGAAAGATGTTACACATCAATAAACCGCATAATTAATTGGACGATGATTAAACGGACGAAATTCAGTAAATTTGCTAAATCTCGATTTAACAAAAACTAGATCTATCCCACGGAGAAATCGAAACGTGAATGTCCTTTTGACATTATTATTTAAACTTGTCCAGTCGTTAAATTTCTAAATAATAAAAAAGACATTATTATACAGCGGATGAATCAAGTTTTAGTTAAATTGAGATTGAGCAACATTTCTGCAAGTGTACCTTAATAATTCGCACACAGAGACTTTGATTAAGTTAATAATGATTGAATGGGCAAAATTTAATGTTTAATTTAAGTTCATTAACATTCATTCAGTTTAGGATAATACGTATACAAGTATCTCCAAAGGGGGGCACGAGCCGGGCAATTTGTCCAGAGCGGCAAAAATTAGGGGCGGCAAAATTGACTAGATCAGCCGAAAAGTACGTCACTAAAAATTGTGGCAAAAAAATTTTCCCGGAGCGGCAAAAATTCTAAATCGTTAAAGTTGATTTTTTTATTACATTAGATAACGGGCAATTTATCCAGGGTGGCATAATTGACTAGGTCAGCCGAAAAGTACGTCACTAAAGGGCGGCAAAAAAAATTGCCCGGACCGGCAAAAATTCTAAATCGTTAAAGTTGATTTTTTTTTATTACATTAGATAACGGGCAATTTGTCCAGGGCGGCAAAATTGACTAGGTTAGCCGAAAATTACGACACTAAAGGGCGGCAAAAATTTTTGCCCGGAGCGGCAAAAAATCTAAATCGTTGAAGTTGAAAAATAACTTTTACATTAGATAATTTATAGTGTTTTCTACCCACAGAACTAGAACCAACTATCTCCGATTCGATTACACAAAGAACTTACTATCTCCGATTCGATTACACAAAGAACTTAATATTATTTTCAATCAGTCAAAAATTAATTGAAGTCTCTGGGTGCAGCACCCGTTTAACTAATAATGAAGCGCATATATTAAATACCAAGTCCGTTCTGATAATTTGTAAGAATTTTCGAAATCTGTTGAGTAATTTCAGAGATAAAACTCTTATACAAAAACATTACCCATTGTATTAATTTTAATATGTATAAATTTTACATGATTCTTGACTATTGAAAGCTTTAGCAGTCTTAAAATTATTTATTAACTTAATTAAAAAAAAAAGTCAAAATAATAATCAAAATTTATCTTACAACAAACATTAAACTAAATAGCATCACAATTGTCGAGAATTATGTAAAAAAAAACATATAATATAAGTGCTTGTTAATTCGTTAAATAAAGTGTTTTGTATAATGATTACACATTAACACGAAATTTTTATCCGGCGCGAAGGACCAAGTCGGAAGTATTAATGGCTGACGGTTTTTTAGACTACACATTACTGTCAAAAATTTCAATCAATTTTCAATCTTAATTGTTGATGGGCAAGGTTAAAAATTTATTACACAATTTTGATATTTATGTGTAGCCCAAAATGCTGTTGTTTGTACTGAAAAAATATAAATAAACTTTTACACCCAATTTCAAGATCTCTCACCTTTTATTCACAAATCACGAAATAAATATTATGTATTATTCTTATTTATTGCGCAATGAAATGGCAGATATAGCACTAATCATATTGTTAAATCTTCTTACTAGCTGTATATTATATTCTATTTAGAAATCGACAAAATCATGTTTGAATTGTTATTTCAGATTAAATTTCAATTAATGTATTTATAATATACAAAATACATGGGGCATTCCACGCGAAGCGGACAGGTTAAAAAACTCGATGTTTCCGATTTCAGTAATATTTGAGTATGTTCTACTTATACTTATTATTGATACGTGTACCAAATATTTTTGTGATATATTGACTAGTTAAAGTGTAATGGGACTTTGAAGTTTTCGACAACCGGTTGGCATGCAGTACTTCAAAGCCGATTATGGACTCATAAAATTATATATTAAAATAACTAAACCACTGGATTTCCTACTTTATTTACTGGGCTTTTTAACTGTGTTTTTGGAATAGAAAAAAAATTTTTTTTTTCGTAAAAAAAAACCAATTTAAGTTTTTTTCCTTGATTTTCACCAAGTTAGACCATTTAGTTTATTTTAATTTTTTTTATATAAATTGCTAATATTGTATAGAACATTGGTGCCAACTTTTATAATGGGCGTGAAAGTGGATTAGGAGCTAGACTGAAAATACTGCCGAAGGGTGGCGTCCAGCGCCGCGCCTGTTGACCGCCGCTTGTGCGCGATTAGTCATCAAACTGTCAATCAAATAAAATCACTTTTGACGGAATGTTTTGTAGATTTTTAATAAAACCAATACATAGAAAAAATTCCTCGCGGACCAGGCAGCAGACGGGACTCGAACCCTCACCCTTCGCAATCCGGGCGAATGCACTGACCAATTATGCTACCGCGGCCCTCATGAACCGCGTCGAAATTCCTCTAGCCATTCTTAAGCTGCAAGGCAGCGCCATCTCTTCGCATTATAGGTAATCCACAATGTCAAATGAATACTTTTACAAGTATTAAACATTTGAAAGAAGAAATAGCAACTATAGTTATAATTTTTATTTCTTTAAAGCATGTAACTGCTTGATGTTTAAATCTAAAGAAAATATAACTAGAAAAAATTCCACGTGGACCAGGTAGCAGACGGGATTCGAACTCGCATCCTTCGCAATCCGGGCGAATGCACTGACCAATTATGCTACCGCGGCCCTCACGGACCGCGTCGAAATTCCTCTAGCCAGGTGGCAATGGCATAATTGGTCAGTGCATTCGCCCGGATTGCAAAGGATGCGAGTTCGAGTCCCGTCTGCTGCCTGGTCCGCGTGGAATTTTTTCTATGTATTGGTTTTATTTAAAATCTACAAAACATTCCGTCAAAAGTGATTTTATTTGATTGACAGTTTGATGACTAATCGCGCACAAGCGGTGGTCAACAGGCGCGGCGCTGGACGCCACCCTTCGGCAGTATTTTCAGTCTAGCTCCTAATCCACTTTCACGCCCATTATAAAAGTTGGCACCAATGTTCTATACAATATTAGCAATTTATATAAAAAAAAATAAAAAAAAATAAATGGTCTAACTTGGTGAAAATCAAGGAAAAAAACTTAAATTGGTTTTTTTTTACGAAAAAAAAAATTTTTTTTCTATTCCAAAAACACAGTTAAAAAGCCCAGTAAATAAAGTAGGAAATCCAGTGGTTTAGTTATTTTAATATATAATTTTATGAGTCCATAATCGGCTTTGAAGTACTGCATGCCAACCGGTTGTCGAAAACTTCAAAGTCCCATTACACTTTAACTAGTCAATATATCACAAAAATATTTGGTACACGTATCAATAATAAGTATAAGTAGAACATACTCAAATATTACTGAAATCGGAAACATCGAGTTTTTTAACCTGTCCGCTTCGCGTGGAATGCCCCACATTACAATGCATATTTAAAACCTGTGTTTCTCAATATTAATTTCCTCATATTTATTGTACATAATACAACATTTAAAAAATATGTTACAAATCAAAAAAAGTGTATTTAAATTAATGAAGTTTGCTCGGAAGTCAGCTGTTAGCAAACGTAGCGCGGCTAACTTCAATGCTTAGTAAATTAAAGTGTTAACATTGTAATAAAAAATAGTTTATTTCAATCTAAATGAATTGACCGAATTTCATATAATGTTAAGTCTTTGTTTAGCATTTAAATGTATGTCCTTATATTATTTTGATTAATTCACGAAATTTCAGGGATTAAAAATTATATAATTAAAGAAAATATAAGTAGAAAAAATTCTATGCGGACCAGGCAGCAGACGGGACTCGAACCCTCACCCTTCGCAATCCGGGCACAATAATTGGTCAGTGCATTCGCCCGGATTGCGAAGGGTGCGGGTTCGAGTCCCGCCTGCCGCCTGGTCCGCGTGGAATTTTTTCTAGTTATATTTTCTTTAGATTTAAACATCAAGCAGTTACATGCTTTAAAAAATAATAATAAATATAATTATACATAATTAAAAATCTGTAAAAAATGCTTCTGTAACAGATATGTGATATTCAATAAATTATTCAGTACTGTAATGAAATGAAAAAATTACGAAATTCGGAAATCGGTTGTTGATAATCTTATGCGCGAGTGAGACGCAAGATGTGCGCAAAAGAGATGGGTGTTAGCATACCTGTGATTGGAGGGGGGTTCGGAATATTTATAGATTTATAATTATAATTAATCATTATGAAATATGATACTCATAAACATCTTTGGAATAATATGGAAAAGCGTATTTTTTACAATATAATTATGACGTCTTGTGAAATGATGCAATGTCCGAATAAATTAAAAATATGTTAATAATTAAATGTGTAAATTATTTTTGCTGTAGTTGAGATGTTTCGCTTGTCAGTATTATTATGTTCCCTGTTGGGAACAAAGCAAAAATTCGAGATGATTTGAGTGAGAAATGATAATTTTTACACTAAGATAGGTACAGTACCCTTAGCACGAACCGTTATCGAATTCGAATAGTTTGCGAGTCCGAAATGTCATTGTCAAATTTTGTATGGAAACTTGAACAGCAAAAATCAGTACACATTTGACAATGACTTTCGTTCTCGCAAACGATACGAATTCGATATTGGTTCGTGCTAGGGGTAACAGTCCTTGATTAGAAAGATGAGTTTGTGAATGACAAACGAGTTTTGCAAATGCCCACATTCTGATGGGTGACCATAAAAAATGTACCATCCGTACTGTTAAGCTAAGAAAATCGTAATAGGGTATTTGACAGTGTTAAAAATAAAGTGCCAATTGTTAGCATCTGTGTTTAGAATGAATATTGGCAGGGGATTTTACTATTTTTACAAAAAAAATATTCATGATTTTACTAAAAACCCACGAAAAAGATATAGTTTTCTTATCTATTGTCACGTGACCCAAAACGCTTGGGATTGGCGGAGCCTCAAAAGACGTCACAGGCAAGTAAACTTCCGGTTAAAGTGACATTACATTGTATCGTTTGACGTTTTAATGACAGTCGTGTGACGTCACACACTAGTAAGACGCCATATTGTCCAGAGAAACGTTTTCGCGGCAACTTGAAAATGGAGTTTTTGATTTGGTTATTTTTAACTGAAATACACAACAGAATGATGAATATCCACTTTTTACGGACTCAATAAACATTAGTCAATAACGTGAGATCGTTTTCTAAAACTTGTCAAATACCCTATTCACACCTTAAAGAGTTGTTGGTTGGTACAGATCTACTTAATAGGGATGAAGACTGAGTGAAATAAACGAAATTTAGTCCGTAACCTAAATTATGAAAAAATATAAACTTATTTATGCTATCGCGGCCCTGATGGCCATGTCGAATTCTCTCTAGCCTTTCTTAAGCTGCAAAGCAGCGCCATCTCTTCAAGGCAGTGCGAGTTCGAGTCCCGTCTGCCGCCTGGACCGCTTGGAGTTTTTTCTAGTAAATTTTTCTTTAGATTTAAACATCGAGCAGTCACATGCTTAAAAAAAAATGGGTGCGTGTACTTATGTAGGCGCGTGAGAAGTTATCCTTCTTTGGCATCGTTTAAAATTAGTTTTTAATTGCATGCAAATAATTAATTACAATAAATTAATAAAAAGTCTGGAAAAGGACGAAGTCAATAAAGTTCAGTTTTAATTTGAAAAAATAAATAAATAATCAAAATATTCAATTAAAATCGCTACTGAATATAATTTATTAGAACATATGTGATTTGCACTTGTATGAAACTCAAAAACGTATTCCGAATATACAAACTAGAAACATGTGGATAAATATTATAAATATGAATACCTATAACTGTTACTTTATTACAAAAAATAAAGATGTGGTTTTGGGTTCTACTACACCAATGGTCAAGAGATGGCGCTGTAGTCTCCTGAATCGCGCTTTGGTTCCGTTGTTCCAGATTAATAAATACTTTTGATAGGCCTTCACAATGCAGTCGTTAGCACCCACTAAATAGAGATTCTATTTTGTTGGTAGATTTTCTTAATGTGCGGTAAACACAAAAGTAACGCATGAAGTTGGTCGCTAAAGCGACCAACTTCATTCGCTAAAGCGACCAACTTCATTATGTTAAAATTTTGTGTTACAGTGATGCGCGCGCATCTTAAAATTTCACTCTCATCATTTTTTCATAACGCGCCTAAAGAAGTATAACTTCAAAAATATAAATTATAACTATAAATCTACTTTTTATTGTGCCCATTAACCAAAAAAATATAAAAATTATTAAGTGCGTCAAAGTTTGGAAGTGGGGGTTCGTGACGTCACTCCCAAGTAAAAATTGTATCAAGGTATGACGTCATGCAATATTTCAGATCACTTTAAATCTCTGTAATGTTTGGCTTATGTGTATTATAGTAGAAATACGTGTCTTTTTTATTAATAATAAATCTATCTGGTCGCCGAAGAGAAAGCTAGTCGTCATCCCTATTGCCGAGGAATAGAAGCTATATTGCTTTGTAATGTTTCCATTGATATGACTTCGACTGTAAATAGGTCTGTAATAGTGATGTAACGAATATTCGCATATTTTTGCATATTCGCATTCACATTTTCGCAAAATCTCTGTGAATGTTTTGCGAATATGAATATTAGAGAAAAACAAATTGAAGAAGTTGTAGTTCTTCCTTTCCTTGAATATTCATTGTTACACAGCTTTCATTTAGCTCGTTCAGCATCGCAAAGTGTGAAATAAGTCTATATTTCACTAGAATTTGATTTACTCATGTTACTAAATCACTATTAAAAGTAACCTCAAAATTCACTAATTTTGTTTACGGAAAGACCTGCGCGAGCGGAATGACACTTCAGTCGGATGAGTTCATATCAACTCGGCAATTCGACGAGACTGCCACCATGCCATAGACAATTGGCGCCAATCTTCAACAAAAACTGACCACGAATTCGATAATCGAATTCGAATAGTTGCATTCAATTTATTTTATACGTCAAATGTGGACTGATTTGTAGTTCTCTTTACGTCCGTTGCAGCGCTGCTGTTCAAGTTTTCATACAAAATGTGACATTGGCATTTCGCACTCGCAAACTATTCGCATTCGTTAGTCGTTCGTGCATACAATACTGATAAGGAGGAATTTAAAATATATCTTCTGACTTACTTTTTAATGAACAAACTTTTATTATGAAGAGCTCAAAGTTTTTTATTTTGTACTAGTGGCCCGCCCTCGCGTCTTTTCGGTGTAGAGCTGTAGTGTAAACTATAATTTTTGTTCTCAGGCTTGTGCTATAAACAATGACTTTATTTATATAATTACACGTGTTATTGTGAGTAAACCATAAAAGATAGACATATGCTATTGCGGAATATTTTTTAGAAAATTTTATGTAGAATATTTCCGTCATACATGATTTCTATGTAACTTTAACCATTAAGGCTGCACCCGCGACGGAAGCTTAAAAAATGGAGTAACTTCTCCCGTTTTCCCAACATTTCCCTTCACTACTCTGCTGCTATTGATTGTAGCGTGATGAAAAGTATACTATAACCTGCCCAGGAGTATGAAGAATAATTGTACCAAGTTTCGTTAAAATCCGTCGAGTAGTTTTTGTTTCTATAAGGAACATACACACAGACAGACAGACAGACAAAAAATTTACTGATTGCATTTTTGGCATCAGTATCGATCACTCATCACCCCCTGATAGTTATTTTGAAAATATATTTCATGTACAGAATTGACCTCTCT